CCCCCCCTCCCCAGCGGCCAAGTACGAGTCCCCCCCTACGAGTTTCGCACAACGATGCTGTACCCTGCTTGCAGGGGCAACAGGAGAAGGCAGCACAAGAAAAGGCTGAAAGGGATTCGAAGGTGATCTCTTCAGTCGTTTCAAAAGATTACATTTGGAGCAGGTGGACATTGAGAGGCTCGAACAGTCAGCAACGTGAATTGAGGCAATACCACCCTCTGTGGAATTCATTTAATCATGTTGATTGCATAAATACACAGCTACTGTCAAATCACAGCTCCTTGTTGTATTCCGCAGGCAAGTGCTCCGCAAGCCACTGACCACCACTATTTTTTGTCAAGGCTTTAAGCCGTTCCCAATGGGAACTCCTTCAACACCAACCGGCCATCCCTAGCAGCACTGTTCTGGTGAAGTTTCACGCTTGGAAGTCTTTGTAAGGCCTTTCGCTAGATCATGCGTACCTTCAACCACTTTTCTTGTCCCGCTCATATCCGCTGGCCGAAATGTTATCATGTCCATTGTAGCCATAATGGTGCACTCGGGTATCGATAGGACAAATTATCTTCTTGCGGCAATAAATCCTATCCAGTGCGTGTTTAGCCTCACACATGGGGGTGCCTACCAAGTAGCGCAACTAGAAATTGAACGGATCGAAAAAAATTACATCTAAAATCATCGACCAGCAGAGGTCACTGACGCATGCCACGAACGCGTATCAGACAGATATTGAAAAAGACAGTGGTAATTCCGCATTTAATGGGCGTCTACTATTACTCATATATGTATGTCTCCAATCATTACGATATCATAGTATTGCTTTACTGAACAAGGCTATGCAATATGACGTATTCCAAACGAGTTTTTTGCCATCAACAGGCAGTGGGTGGGACAATTTGGCCTGACGTTCAGGATAAACCCAGGAGAGGGACTTTCGAAACGAGTTCAATGGCCAAACTATCTTTCGACTCAACGACTAACTGTACACGGACCTCTGAAGATGACTCTGGGTGCTAGACGGATGCATCCCCAGCTGCGGTAGCGTACCATTTTCTCCGCTCAGAAGTGCAGTGGAACGGAGCTGTAGGGTGATGGCAGCCTTGTGCTGTCCTGACTGCCTTATCCTCAAGGTTCAGACCTTCCATCGGTACCAAGGTACCCGCAGCAAACTACTTACTCCAGAATGGGAACTAACCAGAAGTGTGAGGGTGCAGGCAAGTAGCGCATTTGGCTGCGATTGGGCTTGCAACTGGCTGTGCGGTATGTAGAGTCAATATCCGGGAATCATTAGCCTCGAGCCCTGTTCCCGTGCACTTTTAATCGGAGAAAGTAGCACATCACTGCAGCAGCGGATCTTCAAGTCACGCATGGCATTACTTGTTGTACACCAAAGAGATGCCAGTCCCACGTGATTCCTGACTGCTGAAAAGACCCGCGAGCAAGGTTGTCTGCCACATGATTCAGTCACTTACACTACAGATAGCTCACAAACTGACATGGGCGCAGATCCCTCCAGCGATTACCCTTATGTCAGTTGTGACAGGGTGTCCGGATCCTTTGCTGATGGTGATCGTACCGAAGCTTCTGTTTCCGAGAGCATAATGACATGCTTCGTTCACCATACATTTTTCTCATCACTCTGGAAGGAGTGGCAAGAAGCAGAACGATCCTAACTCTTTCAGATGTTATTACAGGTAATAGTTGTCCGCTGATGCCATCTAAAAGACTAGAGGAATCACATTTACAGTAACCTTCGAAATCTCGCTATCCACATATAAATGACATTTTATAACAAGCTTATGAATTGCAATACATACTCTTACGTTCGTTATTGTGTTATAACTCAGAAAGTGTGTTACTAGTAGCTATAAAAATATTAACACCTTACAAGTATCAGCAATAGTTATTTACAGCAAAAAGTATTCAATGGTTGACTCAATTAGTGTGAGTGATCAGTAGGACTCTTGGGAAGATTTACAGGAAGAATCGTTTTCTTTCTCTTCTATAACGTCCAACATAGTCTTATTGAAGTCTTTGGTGGAATCCAGCATGGAACCACGACGGCTTGCGGAATGTGCCTTAATAGAACCATATTTTGAAATCCTAGTGAAGATTAGGAAAGGAGAGAATGAGAATACCGATTCCATCTTAAGGGTCAATATCCCCCTGCGTCTCTCAAAGGCAAGTGGGCACGATATTTTGGTCCTTTGCAGAAAAGAAAGGAGCAAGTAAATACTGAAGAAAAAACGTTTCAAAAGACCGATAATGCGCGCTCCCTAGGTATTTTTCTCAGTCTGCGACCCTGCGGAATCGGCGAAGGAAGCGTACCCACGCAACGGGTGCCAGTGAAAAATTACAGAAAAAACGTAATATAGTCCAAAACTCAAAAATGGGTACTTGCACGGAAATATGCCTGGGAAAGATAACCTGAATACCATCAAGGAGTCCTAATCTGAAGGTCTCAAAGAAGCAAAAAGACCACTTGTAAGCAGACTGCAGCTGAACAGCTGATCTGATCCTGATCATTTGCTGGACGGTGCGGCTATCAAGGGCGGCGGGTTTCGGTAAGAGCCGCGGTCAGCATATCAAGCCTTGCTGAGACGCTCAGAAACCGCCATTCATTGGAAGATACCATGTCATGCTTGCTCAGCAGGGCACATCGTTGTGGGGAATCCCCAATAGGGGGGTCGTATTTGGGCTGGGAAAAATTTATTTTGATAGTTGATTTTTCTCGCTTCACGGACGTTGTAAAGGGGGGGGGTCGTACTTGGTCATTGTTGGGAGGGGGGGGTCGTATTTACGTTTTGGCGTTGTGGGAGTGGTGGTTGACTTTTTGTGATTTTCCTGTTTCATGCGCACTATATACGCATACCATATATACTACATACCCGTCTCCCCCCCCCGCTCGACAGCAAAATTTTTCGGGAAAGTAGCGAACTTTTCGGGAAGGAAATTTTGGAAAAAAGTGGAAGGAATTGAAGAAATAGTCTCGAAACGGTAGAATGGACAGGGGTCGTATGTCTTCGCGGGCCTTTCTGTTCACAATGTTAGTTACCACCCTACCCTTCTCCCCCCCTCCCGCCGTCGACGCTCGATTCGATGAGGAGGGAGGGCGGGAGCCGGAGGGGGAGCGTACCCCCCCCAAAAAAAGGGGGGGGTCGTAGAGACTCGTCTAATATCACAACCAATTATGTGCCCTGTTGCTCAGGAGCATAATATCCTTCTTTGCTAAGCATGTTTACCCTATAAGCCCACTCGATCCATCGTTCCCCTTGCTCCTGATCCAGCAAATGAACCTAAACAATGCAGTTTTAGGCGTTTGAGATGTGCTCAGCATTCTAACGGAGTTATTCGATGCACAGGTCAGTGGTTTTATCTTCCCGGATAAATCTGTCACCAATTAATGGGCCTCAGAGGTATGGAATGCCTGGGCAGACGTCGATACACGGTTGATCCCTTCGATCGATGATACCACCCTGATTCCACCAATTTTGGCTGAATCAGGGTGCTATCATTGTTAGCACAGGTCACCCTGGCGGGCTGCAGTATGCACGCCCCATGGTTCGCAAGGATCATGGCCGCACCGTATATCCCTGTCGTTTTCGACAACTCTTCCCTATTGATGCCAGGGAACGCTTTTCCATATTTATACTCGGGAACGAACTGTAGGAATCTTGCTGTATTAAGCGTAATTCCGTCGGCAGAGAAGAGCCGCAAGAAGAGAAAGCGAGACATAACGTCCGAACCCCTTGTCATACGCTGAGAACCCCAGGCATTTGACAGACCCCGGTTTTCATCCCGTGTAGCAAAATCCTAACTGTCTTGTAACACATTACAGTGGAACGCATAGATGTTTCTGTCGAATAATTTTCGCGTTCCCTCTATGCAAAAAAAGGGTTCACACAGTATTCCACGTAAGAGGCCTGAACGGACTGCTGTATAAACCCATGTTTCCGGGAGAGTCACGAAATCACAGAACAAACTGGAATTTTTACCACGAAGTTCGGAAAGTTCCAGCGTGACATGCAAAATTACCTCAAATTTAGATTCTGTGCCAGAAATTCGCGACAGCGGCTCGCTGTCAATGCTCGAGTAAAACATGGAGCTGGATGTTGTAGCCGTCGCAGATACATCTGCAAAAACAACAAAAGTCGTAGTAACTCACAGAACGTTTGGAATGTCATGACTTATTCTCGTGTAGAAAAGTCAGTACCTACAACGTGAAACAGCTTTATAATACGAATAAGAACTTCTTTCAAGTAAAATGAGGTAAAGTCTGCGATAGCGGGCAGCAATGATTTTGATTTGTCAACATATTGTTTGTTCCAGCTCAATTTATAACAGTTCACAATACTACAAATAGACAGTCCAGGTGTGCGGGTAATTAGAGGTGAAGCTGCGAGAGCCGACGAGGCCCAGACGAAAGAAAGGCACAGACGTATATTCAAGAGTGGACAGTCGGCACTGGAATATACAACCCAGCCGGAACGCTTCTTTTCGCCTCTGATATGGACAATACTGTTTTAACAGTGGGTCACATGCAGAGTTGCCCAGTGAGTTCTCTGTGCTTGAGGTACGCGATGAACATAAAACATCAGCCGTTAAGGGCTTTCACGAAGAAGTCTGATACCGAGTAGGCGATCGTCGATCGAGATGTTCGCTTGACTTCGCGTGGAATGCAGTCGGTAATCGCTGTGGTCCAGCACTCGTCTTCGGAGCGCACTACGTGCCCGGCCCACCTGCTCATTCGAGACCTTCTCAAATGCGATTGCGTCCCTAATCTTCGATCACCAACGCATTACGGAGCTCCGGATTCTCCTGT